GCCCCCCACGGCGTCACCCCTCTGCTGGTTGTCCCCACGGCGTCACCTAACGCTGCCTGTCCCCGCCGCGCCGCTCCTCCATTGCTTGCCCCCAGTGTCACCCCAACGCCTCGTGGCCCCACGGCGTCACCCAACCACCCGTCGTGTCCCCGTAGTGCCACCCCTGTTGGTTGTCCCCATAGTGTCACCCCAACGCCCCCTGTCCCCGCTGTCAGCCCTCTGCTGGTTGTCCCCACGGTGTCACCGACACCGTCCGTCCCAACCTGCCACCCCTCCGCCGGTTGTTTCTTCGGTGCCATCCCGACGCCACCCGTCCCCCTGCGTCCCTTCCACCCGTTGTCCCCATAGCGCCACACCTCCCTCTCGTCCCTCAGTGCCACCCCAACACCGATTCTCCCCGTGGTGTCACCCTAATGGTGTCACCCCAACACCTCCTGGCCCCACGGCATCACCCAACCACCCGTGGTCTCCCCGTAGTGCCACCCCTGTTGGTTGTCCCCATAGTGTCACCCCAACGCCTCCTGTCCCCGGTGTCACCCCTTTTCTAGTTGTCCCCATGATGTCACCTAACACTGCATGTCCCCACTGTGTCACTCCTCCGTTGGTTGCCCCTCAGTGTCACCCCAACTCCAGTTGTTCCCACGGTGTCACTTCTCTGTCGTTTATCCCCACAGTTTCCACCCCCCTGCTGGTTGTCCCCACAGTGCCAACCTTCTTCCAGTTGTTCCCACGGTGTCACCAACACCGCCTGTCCCAACGTGTCACCTGTCTGCCGGTTGTTTCTTAAGTGTCACCTCGCTGCTGGTTGTCCCCACGGTGACATTCCAACAGTTCCTGTCCTCGTTGTGCCACCCCCCCTCCAGTTGTCCCCATAGTGTCACCCCTCCACTGGTTGTTTCTTCAGTGTCACCACCAGTTGTCCCGCCAGTGCCACCCCTCCACCTGTTGTCCCCATGGTGTCACCCCAAAACCAACTGTCCCCATAGTGTCACCCCTCCACCTGTTGTCCCCATCATGTCACCCTTCTGCCAGTTGTTTCCTCAGTGTCACCTTCCTACCGCTTGTCCCCATGGTGTCACACCAACGCTGCCTGTCCCCGTAGTGTCACCCCTCCACTGGTTGTCCCCACAGTGCCACCCCTCTGCTGGTTTTTCCTTCAGTGTCACCTCACTGCCATTCATCCCTGTCACTCCAGCACTTCCTGTCCCAATAATGTCACCCTTCTGCCAGTTGTTTTGCTGCTGTCGCCCCTCTGCCTCCTGTCCCACAGTGTAACCCCCTGACGGTTGTTCCCCCCTTGTCACCCCAGTGCCAGTTGCTCCCACAGCATCACCCCCAACCTCTGGTTGTTCTCCCAGTGTCACCCTCCTCCAGTTGCTCCCCCCACTTGTCCCCTGCTCCTCCCATAGTGTTGTCACACGGCCTCCAGGTGACACTGTACACGCTCCCTGACCATTCTCTACCGATGTCACTCCTCTCATGTCACCCAGCCATCGCGTCACCTGGCTGCTGTTACCCCCCCTGGTGACAGTGTCACCTCTTCTCTGTCCCCAGGGTCACCCCATTGTCACCCCGTTGTCACTCACAGCCCCACGTGGTGCTGCCTGTGCCTGCTGCTATCGAGGGTGACCACCCCCATCCCCACCGGTGGTGACAGTACTGTGCTGGGTGACACGTGGCTGTATGCCCCCCCCCAGTCACAGCTGGTGGCCCCTGAATCACAACTGGTGGCCACAGAGTCACGCTTATTGGCTGCTAAGTGACAACCGGTGGCTACCAAACCACACTGGATGACAGCTGGTGACAGCCAAACCAGTGGCCATCAGTCACAGTCAGCGGCTCCTGGACTACAACCAGAGGTGGCCAAACTACAACTGATGGCTAAGTTACAACCAGCTGACTGATTTACAACCGGTGGCCACTACATTGCAGCCTGTGGCCACTCACTTACAAGCGGTGGTTGTTAAATTTCAGCTGGTGACCACTCAATCACAACCAGTGGCTGCTAAATGACAACTGGTGGCCACCAAATCACAACCAGTGGCTGCTAAACGACAACCTGTGTCTACCAAATCACAACCGGTGGTCACTGAATGACAGCTCATGGCTGCTAAACAACAACTGGCGGCCCCTAAGTCACCACTGGTGGCTAATAGCTTACAACCAGCGGTGAGTTTCAACTAGTGGCCACTAAATTGCAGCTGATGGCTTATCAAGTTACAACCAGCAGACACTGACTTAGAGTTGGTGACTGCTAAATTACAGCCGGTGGCCGCCAAATCACAACCAGCTGCCACTCAATCACAGCTGGTGGCCACTAAATCACAGGTAGCGGCTGCTGAATCACAACCAGCAGCTCCTGAATGCCACCCTGCAGCGCTGTCACCCCGCCAGCTGTAGCTGCAACCCCACAACTGGACACTGTTAGGGCTGTTGTGGGGCTGTTGTGGGGCTGTTGTGGGGTTGTTGTGGGGTTGTCATGGTGATGTCATGGGGTTGTAAGGTTGTCATGGTGGTGTCACAGGGTTATTGTGGGGTGTTGTGGCGTTGTTCTGGGGCTGCCATGTGGATGCTGTTGTTTGCTGTGGGTCTGCCACGTTGTCACCATGCTGTTGCTACGGTTGTGACAACGCTGTGTCCTTACAGGTGGCCGTGCCGGCTGTGACCCCCCGCCGAAACGCCCGGCAACAACCGCCCCGCTCGGTCCATGAGGGCCCCGCTCACAGGTAAGGGACACCCCCACACCATCACCGTCACAACCACACCAGGAACACCCTGCCCTGTCTCCACGGCAGCAACCCCCTCTTTGTGTCTGCCCTCTGCCTGTCTATGGGGCGACCTGCCCATTTCTCTCCAACTGTTCCGTGACACCTGGGCCGGTGACGCCTCACCGTCACCATGGCAACACCGTGATGGTACAGTGTAGGCTGTGGGGCTGGGGGACCCAGATGTGTGCATATCCCCTAAGTAATGTCCCCAGAATGGTGACAACAAAGTGATGTCCCCATGCTGGTGTCTCCACATGTCCCCATACATCCCCAGTGTAATGTCCCCATACGTTCCCATGGTGATGTCCCCTTATTTCCCCATTTGTCCCACATGTCCCTATGGTATGTCCCCAGTGTAATGTCCCCATATGTCCCTGTGCTGGTGTCCTCATGTGTCCCCAAGGTGCTGTCCCTGCATGTCCCCATGCAGTGTCCCCATTTGCCTCCCTGCTGGTGTCCCCATATGTCTCCATACTTCTCCATGACGAAGTCCCCATAGTGATGTCCCCAGTGTAATGTCCCCACATGTCCCTGTATGTCCCCAAGATAATGTTCCAATGTGTCCCCATGGTGATGTCCTCACATATCCCAATGGTGATGTCCCCTTATTTCCTCACATGTCCCCATGATTATGTCCCCTTATTTCCCCACGTTCCCATGTTGGTGTCCCCATAGTGATGTCCCCTTATTTCCCCATATGTCCCTATATGTCCCTGTGGTGATGTCCCCTTATTTCCCCACCTGTCCCTGTGGTGTTGTCCCCATATTTCCCCGTATGTCCCCATGGTGATGTCCCCTTTTTTCCCCACCTGTCCCCCTGGTGTTGTCCCCATATGCCCCCCATGCGATGTCCCCATGCGTGTCCCCTCCCCAGCAGGTGTGGCGCGCGGGGATGGCAGCGGTGGAGGTGTCGGACGCGGGGCACAGCCGGGCGCTGCTGCTGGAGCTGAACGAGCAGCGCCTGCGGGGACAGTTCTGCGACGTCACCCTCATTGCGGGGGACACCAAGTTCCGCGCCCACCAGAACGTGCTGGCCGCCTGTAGCCCCTACTTCCGGGAGGCCCTGGGGGCGGCTGCCTGTACCCCCGCCGCGGTGTTGGAGCTGCCGGGGGTGCAGGCGGCGGTGCTGGCCGACGTCCTCAACTTCATCTACAACGCACGCCTGGCCGTCCCCTCGCCGGCTGTAGCCCGCGAGCTGGGGGCTGTAGGCCGGCGCTTGGGCATCGCCACCCTCCAGGGGTTGGAGGGCCACCACAACACCGCCTGGAGTCCTCCGACTGCCGGTGACGCCTCTGCCACCACCACGGAGGGACTGGCAGCGCCGGTTGACCTGACAACGTGCGGCGGTCGTCCCAGCGAGGTGACGGAGACAGTGCCATCAGAGGCACCACCACCGGTGGCTGTAATCGCATCGCCAGGTGTAGTGTCGCCAGGTGTAGCCTCGCTGGGTGTCACATCGCCGGGTGTAGCACCGCCAAGTGTAGCCTCACTGGGTGTCACCTCACCAGGTGTAGCACCACCAAGTGTAGCCTCGCTGGGTGTCACATCGCCGGGTGTAGCACCGCCGAGCGTAGCCTCACTGGGTGTCACATCATCGGGTGTAGCACCGCCAAGTGTAGCCTCACTGGGTGCCACGTCGCCAGGTGTAGCGCCGCCGAGTGTAGCCTCACTGGGTGTCACATCGCCAGGTGTTGCACTGCCAGGTGTTGTGTCCCTGGGTGTCACCTCACCGGGTGTTGCGTTGCCGGGCGTAGTGTCCCTGGGTGTAGCGTCACCGGGTGTCGCGTTGCCAGGTGTAGTGTCGCCAGGCGCAGCACCGCCAGGTGTAGCTTCTCTGAGCGTAGTACCACCAGGTGTGGTGTCACCGGGCGTAGCATCCCTTGGTTTAGCATCACCAGGTGTAGCCTCACCAGGTGTGGTTTCACCGGGCGTAGCGCCGCCGGGTGTGGCATCCCTGGGTGTAGCATCGCCGGGTGTCACGTCACCGGGTGTGGCATCGCTGGGTGTCACCTCTCTGGGTGTAGCGCTGCCGGGTGTCGCGTCGCCAGGTGTCGCGCTGCTGGGTGTGACATCACCGGGTGTAGCCTCGCCGGGTGTAGCATCCCCTGGCACAGCCTCCCCGTCCCCGCTGCGCTGCGGGCTGTGCGGCCGGGTGTTCGGCACCGCGGCGGCGCTGGGGCTGCACAGCAAGCTGCACCGCGCGCGGCGGGGGTTGGCGTGCCGCCACTGCGGGAAGAGCTTCATCCACGTCAAGAGGCTGCAGACGCACGAGGTGTTGTGCGAGAAGGACGGCGCGGACAACACCGCGACCGCTGCCGGCACGGCGACGGCAGCACCGCCAACACCGCCACAACCACCGCCAACACCGCAACCGCCAAGCAAGAAGGCGCTGCTGCTTCGACACCGCGCGCTGGAGGTGGCTGAGCCGGAGCGCGGAGAGCCGGCAGCCGGCAGCACGGCGGCGGACAACCGGCGCACGGTGTACCTATGTGCCGTCTGCCAGCGCTCCTACGTCACCCTGTCCAGCCTGAAGCGGCACGCCAACGTGCACTCGTGGCGGCGGCAGTACCCCTGCCGCTACTGCGACAAGGTGTTTGCCCTGGCCGAGTACCGCACCAAGCACGAGGTGTGGCACACCGGCGAGCGCCGCTACCAGTGCGTCTTCTGCTGGGACACCTTCGTCACCTACTACAGCCTGAAGGCGCACCAGAAGGCGCTGCACGGCATCAGCCCCGGCCTCATCGCCTCCGAGAAGACCCCCAACGGTGGCTACCGGCCCAAGCTCAACGCGCTCAAGCTCTACCGCCTGTTGCCCATGCGGGCGCACAAGCGGCCTTACAAGACCTACAGCCAGAGCCTGGCGGCTGACGGCCTCCAACAACCGCCGGCGGCTGCCTTTGTCACTCCGCGCCCGGCGGAGCCGGCATCGGTCATCGCCTACGGGCGACCCTCAGCCTCCGTCATCGTGCACAGCGGCACCGCGACCGCCGCCGCCGCCACCACCGCCACAACCACCGCCTCCGTCATCGCCTACAACGGCACGGCCGCGCAGCCCAGCTCACCACCCGCCTCGCCGCCGGTGAAGCCGATGAAGAAGCAGGTGCTGCGTGACTACTTCGAGGCGCAACGTGCGGCAGCTGCGGCGGTGCCCACCACCCCCGGCACGGTGACACCAACAGCCGGCGTGACCACGGCCTCCGGGCGTACCATGACCTACGTGGCCAAACCGGCCTACGTGGGGACGAGCAGCGAGAGCCGCGCCGCGCCGCTGTGCCAAATCACCGTCCGCATTGGCGAGGAGGCCATCGTCAAGCGGCACATCTCCGAGACCGACCTCCGCCTACAGCCGGATGGCGGCACCGCAGCCACCACGACGGCCAGTGCCACGGGGTCACCCGCCTCGCGGCCCCGCGACAGCGCGGAGGAGGACAGCGATGGCGAGGACCGGCTGTGGAGGCCGTACTACAGCTACAAGCCCAAGAGGAAGGGCGGCGGGAGCAACACCGCGACCAAAGGGCGGAAATCCAGGTGGCGGCGGCCGCTGCGGGCGCTGCGTTGGGGGGCGGCTGACGGCGAGGAGGGGGGAATGCGGGGGTCGCGGGGCAGCCCGGGGGGCACGGAGTGGAAGTACAGCTGTGGGGTGTGCGGGAAGCCTTTCTCGGCACTGAGGAAGCTGCGGAAGCACGAGCGGGGCCACGAAGGGGGACAGGCGGCGGTGGGGGGACTACAGGCGGCGGCGACAGGCAGCGGCGGGGTGACGGCGCGGGTGGGCCGGCGGCCGTCGCTGCGCTTTGCCTGTGAGCAGTGCGCCAAGGTGTGCAAAACTGCCGCCGCGCTGAGCCGGCACAACCGGCGACACTGGGGGACAACAAGCGGCACGGGGTCACCTGCCGGTGTCATCGCCTACAACACTGCCGGGGAGGAGGAGGGCGAGACAGGCGGCGGTGACAGCCTGACACCAGGTGACAGCATGGCGCTGGGCTGTGGTGGTATCACAACGCCGGGTGATGGTAGCGCTGGTCACGGTGACACCGTGACGGCTGGTTGTGGTGAGAAAGCTGCACTGGGTCACAGTGACACTGTCACAGCAGGTCGTGGTGACAAAGTGATAGCAGGTCACGGTGACGAAGCGACACCCGGTGTTGGTGACAAAGTTCCACTGAGTCACAGTGACAAAACGGCACCGGGTCCTGGTGACAAAGCCACGCCGAGTGTTGGCAGCACTGTGACACCGGGTCCCGGTCACACTGTCACAGCAGATCACGGTGACAAAACGACACCGTGTCGCGGTGACAAAGCCATGCCAGGTCTTGGTGATGCCGCAGCACCAGGTCCTGGCAGCACCATCACTCCAAGTCACGGTGACGATGCACCACCGGGTCTCGCCACACCGGCTCACGGTGACAAAACAACAGCACGGCACGGTGACAAAACAGCACCTGCTGCCACCCCCGTGTGGGCCGACAGCAGCGCCGTACCGCCGGCTCACGCTGACAGCACCACGCCGGGTGACAGCAGCAACACCGTGCCGGGTGACACCATGGGTGACACCACGGGTGACGCCGTTGTCCCCCTCGGGCCTCCCTACCCCCCCCAGGAACACCCGTTGGCTCTCCTGGCACGGGCGGGGGCCGCAGAGGAGCTCGGGGGGGGTCCCAAACTCGGTGCCCCCCCCCCTCCGAGGCCGCCCCCTCCCCCCGCCCCTCCGGGCCCCACATTTACGCTGCCCTATGCCCCCACCCGGCTGTTGGCCGCCTACCCCTACCCCTTCGCCCTCCCCATGGCGCTCCGCGTGGTCCTCCCCGATGCTGAAGCGTTTTTGGGGACGACGACGACGACAACGACGAGGGGAGGGGGAACCCCAAATCAACCCCCCCCTGCTGCCTCTGCTTTCGGCTTTCCCGGTGGGGAGGGACCCCAGAAAGGAGGGGGGAAATGAGTGTGGGAGGGGGTGTCTGAGTTAAGGGGGGGGAGCTGAATGTGTGGGGCAGAGATAAGTTGGGGGGGGGGCGCCCCCTCCGCAGTGAGATATGGGGGGGGTCCCATTGACAGAGGGGAAATTCTGTTTGTGTGGGGCTCCCCCATAGAAGTGGGGGCACAGAGATGAGGGGAGGGCACTGCCCCATAGCGGGGCGGGGGCTCAGAAGTATGGGGGGGATCCTGCCCCATAGGGAACAATGGGACCCATAGGGCTGGGGAAGAGGGGCGTAGAGGACATAGGACCTCCTCTCGACCCCCCCTCCCCCCAGAGAGGGGACCCCAATATTTTATTTGGGGGGGGGGGGGGGGGAAAGAGAGGAGCTGGGGGTGCCACAGGGACCAGTATGGGACTGGGGGGGCACTGGGTGTACTGGAGACCCCCATACACCACCCCTCATTTTGTGGGAACCCCCCCCAATATTACAGCCCCCCCTCATCCCAGTCTTCCTATATTATACCCCCCACCCCTTGTCTTCCTCCGCCCCCCCG